TGTCTTCAACCATTTTCTGTGAAACTGTTTCTCTTTTCTTGAGTTGAACAAATCAAGTTGATTTTGGTATCTTGTTATTTATTTTAATTAGTTTATAGCATCCGCTGTCTGTTAATCGGAAAGGGGTTTTCTGCGATTTTTTTTAATCATTTTTGTTTGGATTTTTTTGTGATGGTGAATGAATATTGGGGATCCGAGGTTTTGGTAGATGAATTATACTCGGCATATAAGAAGAAGAAGTGTGTTTTATTTTGTTTTCGACTTCGCTTCAAAAGGGGGTGCTTAAATTGAGATCTGCTTTTTCAGTTGCTTACCGAATCGACGACCTTTTTCCCTTATAGAATATTTGTATATTTTATATATGTTTTCTCTTTGAATTCCTTCTGTAGAAAAAGTTTTTTTTTCCTGATTGGCTTCCAGAATCTTGTTGTTTAATGTTTCAATAGCTGTTGATGTCAACTTCTTCGCAATTCCCTCCTACCCCCTCAGGTTTTTTTTTTTTTCTATAATGTTTGTGCAGGGCTTGTGGAAATAAACAATATTAAAAAAAGGGCTTTACTTCTTTTTGCTATATTCTGTTCCGAATAAGCTGAAGTCTGCGAGGTGCCATGTCGTTCAATGGAGGTGAAGATTTTGACTACTCGGCGTACGAGGTTGATTTGGCTAATGCGATGGATGATGAGATGTTTGGGGATTCCTTTGGTAGAGATAGAGTTGAGGATAAAAATGATTATGAGCTGGTTAGATTGCTTTCAGCATGGCTGCTTCTGGGTTTTCATTTTTTTTTTTTTTTTTGAATTCATGCTTTAAGTTATGATGCAGAGTTATAATTTACTGATATTACTGTCTTTTTTTTCAATCAGCTCACTAGGGAGACAGATACATCCTCTGCACAAGCAAGAAAAGGGAAGGATATCCAAGGCATTCCATGGGACAAATTACATATAAGCCGGCAAGCTTATAGATGGACCAGAATAGAACAATACAAAAATTATGAGAATGTTCCATCTTCAGGGATTGACATGGACAAGGTTTTTTTTTTTTTT